AGCTGCGTTGCGGATGTCGACCATGTAGGTTTCTAGTTGTATTTTTATTTCAGTTATTTCAATATCTTTTAAAGAATATTTTCGTAATTTTATTAAACATTCTGAATTAATTATGTAATAAATATAAATTTTTAATTTTTAATTATTTTTGCTCATATTTTATTAATTTAATATTTTTATTTAATTAAATTTTCAAATTGTTAGAACAAACTCTTAAACTAAATATATATATATATTCAACAAAGTAACCATGTTGTAATTTGTTTATATCCTGTTTTATAATACCTATAAAAATAAAGTGTTAAAATTAATAAAATAAAATAATATTTATATAATAATAATAATAAAATTAAATTTCAAAAATTATATAATATTTATATAGTAATTACATAATCAAATCTTAACGAAGATCTATAGGAAACATATGATTAAATTTGAATCTACACTTTTATAAAAATAAAACAATTCAACCAAAAGATGAACAGTATTAGGGGCCTTCATTAAACCTCATTAAAGCATATATATATATATATACATATTCTTTGTTTCCATAGGGAGCTAAGTGTATTATCATGCACTAAACTTTTGTGATTAATAATAATAATAATAAACCAATTAATTATAGCCGTCCCGATTTGTATTTTATATTATAAAAAGAAAAAATGATTTAAGAAAATGGTACGCTAATCACATTATTAAAATAATTATTATATTAAACAATAAAAGAGAGCGAAATCTTTGAGCATAGATATGGACGACCAGAGACCCGGGACCCACTAAAAGCGGCTGCCGCGTTTCCCCACTTCCACCGCCTGTGCGCCCTCCACGTGGCCCTAATGTTGTCTCCTTGCCTTTTTTTTTTATTAAAAAAAAACATAAATTATTTAATTTTTTTTATATGATCAGCCCATACAAGCACGCATCATCTGACGGCCGTCTGCCACGTGGAGTGTAAATCCCAACACGAATCTCGAGAAGCTTCCGGTCAACATGGAATTACCTTTCGGTTTCCTACCTGAAACCCCCGCTCGTCACACTCTCCCTCACTCGCACGTGCTCATCACGCGGAACCCGACAACGGTAACTTTTATTTTTTGAAGCAAGGGAATGGTAACTCATGTTATTTCAACATTTAGTTACAAAATAATTTTATTTTTTTATTTTTTTGACATGAAGTAGAATATATAAATTTGAAAAAGCATAAACATTTGTTCTATATGCAAAACACGATTCATGCACTTAAAAGAAAAGCAAATCAAAGGAACACTGTACTATATCTTAGCCTAGGTTAAGAACAAAAGTAGGAGATCTAGTGGTGGAACCTGAACACTTCAATATGAGAATCATATCATACATATAATAGTAAGAATATATGCATGCTCAAGAAAGCTCTAGGGTTTTCATTTGCTCAAAAATTCTCCTAAATGCCTTTAAAATGCTTGTTGTGGCCTTGAAATGTGCAATGATGCTAGCAAGATCCACAAGCAATATACATGCCGGAGCACAAGGTAGAGAAAGAGGGAATCTCACTTGGTTGTAGTAGCACAGGTGGCAATCACTGTGCTTGCTTTTTCTAATTATAACACTTCAAAATTTATATGCTTTATAATAAGATATACACTTATTGTTGATAAATTTATGTAGCTTTAAGAGTTTGAATGTATGTGATAGGAAAAATTTGATACTATGCATAAGAAATTAGTTTACGATAATATAAGATAATATATAATTATTGATGCATAGTCAAATATTTATTTGGATAAGTTAGCATAGGGTAAGAATGCGTGCCTCTAGTTGAGAATGTCTTGATACCTATGCTATTATTATGCTTAAAGACCATTAATTGAGCATGATATCCTACGGTGATACATACCATAATAATTGAGTTAAAGGATATTTTAAAAGCAGATGATTGAATAATATCTGCTTTGGGTTAGCCACATAACTTGCAACAAGCAATAAGACAATTATGATTAGTACAATACATACTTACTAGTGCTTTGTGTAAAATGTACCACCAAAAATTTTTTTATGTAGGTAAAATTTACGAGAGCCATAACACACTTAATATTGCGAAACGAAGATTAATGGGCAATGGGGTGGGAATGTAAATCCAAGTGACTAAAATAATATGCTGTTTTAATAATATAGCTTAAACTGGGAGTGAACTTCAAGCTCCACGAGTCCATATGGCAAGTATTACTAGTGATAGGTTTACTTTTTTGGAACAGAATATTAAAAGGGAATTATTGTAAGAAGAGAATATAGCACACATTTGAGATTGTGATTTAATAAAGTGGTTAAAACATATGAACCTAGGGTATCCGAGTATGGATAGACGTTCTTGACCTACTAGATTTATGCTCAAAATTTTGCCTACTTTCTAAGATTCCTTTCTATAAAAGGGGTTCATTAAGATTTAAAACTACATGAAAGAGTAACATTCCTTTTAAATACTTAGCTTGAACAATTTATACTGAGAGGATTCTAATTGGTTAGAAGAGAGCCCAAACTAGTTTAACCATAAGGGCTAGATTACATGTAGGAAGATATTTAAACCCAAACCACCTAAACTAAATTTTTATTTTTATTTTATCTCTATATAGATAATAATAATTATACAAATATACTCTATTTAAAAGTATACTTAGAAGATTAAGACTTATCCTTATTTCCGAAGAATTGTAAGATAAAAAAACATTAAACATTACAATGGTGGTTTCAATAACTTTAATGTTCAAGTCAATAAGGATAAAATAAGATCAAATAGCATATAATCAAGAATTTATTGTTAGTTTAGTCAAATAGTCTCATACTATATATATAATGTCTTTTTATACTCTTCTTCTATTAAATGTCTTAACCCATTATAAATAAGGCTTTGCAAGATAGGTCAACCAAATATGTCTAGTATGGGGTTAAAGTATAGACAAGTTCATTAGAAAATATTTTTTTTCTATACAGATCAATTCATTTTAAAGAATTTGAAAAAATAGATTAAAAAAATGGTACTTATAAGCCCAAAACCAAAACGATTTAAGATGGATAATAACACAAAAGGAAGCCTAAAATACTATAAACCATTAAGCAAAAGGTGGAGTATATTCAACCGAGATAAAAGTGCATACTTTAGAAGTAACTATTTAGGAATTGGTGGGTTGTTATATTGTCATGCAGGGTGTTAGATGGAGGGTTTTTTTAGCTCATATTAAGCCATAAGAAAGAAGTGACATGGCTCTTCAATATGCTATGGTATTCAAAGTGGGGAGTGTTTGAGTAAAATCAAACTCGAGAGTAGTATTCGATTTTATCAAAGAGTTAATGATGAAAGTCATATACATAAGGAGTTTGTACAAAATTGTCCAAATTGGGTGATAGGTTGTAGATATTTAAAGCTATCCATATTTCTAAGGACAAGAATGCAGGTGAAGGGTAAGATTAGTTTTAGGAGTATGTGGCAGGAAAAATTTTCAAGAATCTACTTATTAATCTCTATTATGTATTTTGAACTATTTCATGTGTTTTCTTGGTTGTAAGAAAATTCAACTGAATATTTAAAGTATCACTTAAATTTATTTATATATTTTGAGATTATTATATCTAAGAAAAGAAATTTTTATATATGCTACATTTACCTATTTTGAGATAATGGTACCTCATAAAATGAGGTATCTATAGATTTTTTTTTTCCTCGTCATGCATGACTATGTTATATTACTACTTGTTACAACTATTTGATGTTAATTATTTTTTTTGTCACATATGGTTGTTCATAATTTTCAATTTTTATCTATCGCATTTAAATTGTCGATCATCATGTTTGATGTCGATTACAAAATAATAATAGATAATAAGAAAATAAAGTAACAAATTAGAAGGTAGTTAAAAATAGTACCAAAATAATAACCAAATAGTATCATATAATAACAAAATGAAACTAATAAATAATTATGTAATGGGTTATCCATATCTAAAAATAGATGAAACTACCCTAAAATTCCAAATAAATAAGAGTTGGTGGGAATAGCTTCCTTGGGCCAATTCACTCACAATAAAAAGTGGTAACTTAAATATTTATATATATATATATATATATATATATATATATTAAAATGTCAAAATAATTTGGTAAAGATAAAAATTACTCTAATTTTACTTTTATATGTGGTTGTATTCATTAAAAATATATTTCAAAATATGTTCAATGAATTTAATAGTGAAACAACATATATATTTTTTTATTTCTAAAAAATAAAACACCATTATAATAGAATTTTTAATTAAAAGTTACTAGACAATCCATCTTAATACCGAATGAAATTTACAATTTAGCCATATATGGTAAAACGATTAGGTTAAACCGACCTAAGTGTATTTCATTTAATCATGAGGGTTGGTTAAGGTATGTTTTTTTTCCAATAAAAGATTACTTTATAATAAATAATTGACACACTATGGTTGCTACTTATATAAATTTAGTAATTGGGATTGGAAAAAAGGAAAACCCAATTAGCTAAAAGAAATTAAATTATTATTTCGTATGATGAATTTCGTATATTGAAAAATAAATTTTTACTAAAAAATAAAAAATTATTTTAATTAAATGGAAAAAAAAAGAATAAAAGAAATGAAAAATGAAATTATAAATGCAAATTAAATGTAGCCGACTCCATCCATTAGTTAGCAAACAAAACGACACAACCCGTGAAAATATGTTGCTTTAAGATTCGAGATTTTCGCTTTCTTCTTACGTCATAATTGACAATATTCACTGTTTTAAAAATAGGAAATAAAAAGGACACGTGTCGGCGAGTACCGGATGTTTCAGATGTCACATTAAACCACTCGCTTGTCGTCAGACATTAAACAAACTAAAACTCGTGGGTACGTGCGTGTCTACTACTGACACCATTCCACCCGCAAAGAAACTCGCCGGACCTTGTCTGGTTTTCCGGCGACAACCTTAATACGCCGGCCGGTGATTATAACAGTAAAGAAAATTCAAGAGAAGATATGAATCATCTGTGTTAATTCACTAAATAAAAAGGAGTTACAGTAACTATAATTAACAACAGAGACGAAACGCATCGTTTCGCTGTTGCAAAAAAAAGTTCGATGAACCTAAACTATTCACAAGGATCGGTGATCTAGCGGATCACATGAAAACTCTCTCGCTATCTTCTTTTTGGGGAAAGAAATAAATTTTCAAACGGAAAAATAAAATGGGATGATCTGCTTGATGTCCATTTTATGGCCGGAGAAGTGAAAAATTTGAGTTCAGGCGATTTCAGGAGGAGGAAGTTGATTGAGATCGAAATCAAACAAGGGGCCACGCGTCGTCGGCGGCGGCGGCGCCGGCTTAACGTCGACGACGGATGAAGAATCAGAATCGCTCTGGACCCCACCACCATGATGGTGATTATTGAATCTAATCCGTTGATACTGCTGACCCTTCATTGCCTCCCCGGCTCTCATAATCGCATTCAAATACATCATCTGGTTGGCCGACACGACGCCTCCGGGGAAAAACCCAACGGCAGGGGTAGCCGGCGGCTGGAAAGGGAACTTATCGGCGGAGCCAAATCCTCGGCCGAGATTTAGATCCAACGGCGAGGAATCCATCGTGAGGGCCGGCTCCGGCTCGCAGCAGCTGGAAGACTCAACAGTGCTACTCTGGCTAGGACTCTGGTTATTGTTGTTAATACTACCATTTTCGTTTTTGGCTCTTTTAGTGGAAGCCATGGTTAGGTTTTCGGGAGGGAGAGGGAAGTTGGTCTTAGCCTTGGCGCCACGAAACTCCCTGGCGGCGGCGTCGTAAGCGCGAGCGGCTTCCTCAGCCGTGTCGAAAGTGCCTAGCCAGACTCGGCTCTTCTTACCCGGATCTCGGATCTCGGCGGCGTAACGTCCCCAAGGTCGCTTTCTGACACCCCTAAAATGAACCTCCTTGCAATCGGCACCGGCGGCGGCGGGGGCAACGTTGCCGTTGGAGATAGGCTTCATGGCGGCCGTGTTCGCTCTTGGCGCCATTTTCGCGAAGCTTCCAGTCGATTGAATATTTTTACGTTGAAAAGAGAAGAAAAAACCAGAGGAGGATCAGAGTGGGCTGGGGTTGAGAGACAAAGGTGGAGACGGAGGTGTTTTTATAGATGGGAGCAGATAGAGTCGGCGAAGAATTGATTAAGAGAGAGAAAGAAAAGGGCACAGTCAACGAGGGATTTGACTCAGACGGCGGCTAGCCTAGAGAAAGAGAGTAGTGGCAATATCGTAAATTAGAATCAGCCGAATTACGTGGCATGTGGGTTGTCTCCACTTCTGGTATGAGAAAAAAAGAAATTATTCTATACTCCAGGTTCACTCAACACTCGTGTCTCTTCATGTCAAAATTTAACACGTGTACTCGACAGAAACTAACGCCGTTAACTCTTTGTTTTAAGGACATAAACCGTAAACGAAGATATAAACGGTGTTTGAAATTTATATTTTAATGGTTTAATAGTTTAATCTGACATGGGGAACTAAAGAAGGGCATGGTAAAAAGAAGTCACGTGTTAAATTATAATAGGAAATGGTTCGGATGATTGGGTACAATTAATTGTAGAGGATTATTTATTTATCTATGTTTACCGGTAATCTGAATTATCATCATTATCATCATCTAACGGCTACAAAATGCTACTGTTGATTGCGTGCCAAGGTTTTTCTTCTTCCTCACGCTCTCTCTCACGCGTACACCCTCAGTCGTTTTCCTTCCTTTTTCTAGAATAAAATATTAAATTAAATTATATATTATTTTAAAAAATCTTTATTTTATTAAGTGGGTTATGGAGCGCGTGGTATTGTGTGTTGAACTAAGGGAGGCATGAATGGTAAGCAACATGTTTGAACAAGTTGTCGGCATATTCTGCTAGCTCGCCGCGTGACTTGGATCGGAATTTTATTTTATTTTCTTATTTTTTTTATTGAGAACAAAATTAAATTACACTATTTTTAAAAAGAAAAAATTGACAGCCTTCTTTCTGTCTCTCTCTACGCGTCCTTTTGTACAGGCTTTTCATGCCCACGCCTTTATCCCTTTTGAACCGTTCTCTACAGTGCAACCAATCATAACTAGCCACGTGTCGTTACGCATGTTCTTAATTGGAACCTAACTCCCATAACCCCCACTCGCGCTTTCTTTTATCTGTGCCAATCACATTACCAGTCTTTGACAACAGTATCAATATCATCCGACACCTCGTTTTCCCCACACTCCCATCAATTCCGCGTGAATACACGCGCACTTAAGTTTACTCTTTTGGCCATTGGAGGAATATTGGCCAACGCGTCGTACGGAGTAATAGGATAAAACCGAATAATTTTTTTTATTAGTAAAATAATAATTTTATTATTTTTTAGATAAAATTAGCGTTATCAATATATATATATATAAATACGCAACATGTTATTTTCTACTTTTTTATAATAAAAAATAAAAATGTAAATATATTAGTATTAGTTATAAATATGTATACATTATATAAAAATACTGTATAAAGATAAATTATTGGATCTTATTTACTAAATTTTAAAAATATATTAATGCGATAATTATAATTATATAAATTACATAAGATAAAATCTTTAGTATTACCCACTTAAATATTAAATTATAAAAATATTAATATACATAATATTTATCAATTTGAATTTTTAAAATATAAAATAAAATTTAATTTTAATATAATAATATACGTAATATTTAATTTTCTACATTTTGTAAATTTCTTGTTTTTCTTTAACTAGATATCTACTTGTCTTAAGTGATGATATCTTCTTTATTAGTGATTTCTTGGATTATTTCACCCTTCAATGTAAAAGTCATGAATATATTCACTTAGTCGCTTATCCCTTCACTTTCTTATGCCTGTGTTTATCCCACTTCGAGTTTAACATGTTCTTCTTTCTAACTCTTAAACATCAAACTATATTTCGTATAAAATTTTATTCTAACTCTAAATAACTATGATTAGTCATATAATTTATGCAAAACAAAATATTATTATATTGTACGCATGTATGCTATGTATTTTTAGTAATTATTTATAAAAATACAATAATCTTTCACACTTGATTTTTTTCTGAATACAACATTGGTCTAATCAATTTCTTAGATATTGATACAAAGTTTATATTTTTTTTATTAAAAACGATAAAGATATGCAAATATATTTTTTTTTAAAAAAATCATAAGACAACTAATTAGAAGAACGTCGTGTGTACCACTTGGTTCATGAAACTTGGGTGGCACATGACATCCTCCTTATGATGTGTGCCAACAGGAAAAGACGACACACCAATCTCTATATTTTTTTTAATCAAATGTTTTATCAATATTAATTTTATTTTAGTCAGTATTTTATTCATTTCTTTTTTAAAAAAAAATTTTTACAGAAAAAAGATAAGATCCAGACATATCTAATAGATGAGAAAAGTGAGACAAGAGAGGCAAGAACGAACAATTTAAAGATACCCTATTAAGATTTTCAGTATTATTTATTTTTATCAATGAAAAACTTTCATATATATTGTAAAAAGAAAGAAAAAAACAATATACATACCCCGAACGTGCACAAAATTTTATCTTAACTTAAATTTGCTATACAATAAAGCCTTACGGAACTTCATAACTCGTCTCACATTCCCGCCAATTGATGGTTACAATCAAACACCAAGTTCTTTGCATTAATTTTCTTAACATGGCGTATATATATCATATAAAATTTTAAACTCTAAACTCTAAATTACATAAATAATTTATAAAAAAAAAAACATTATATTCAATAATAAAAAAAATACTTAAAAAATAAATTTATTTTCTAAACTTAAATAATGCACGGGCTTTTGCAATAGTGAATAACTTCATTCAAAATTTATAATCTAATAAAAGAAAGTTGGAAATTTTCAAAGGGTTGATTGTGTTTTCACCATCTTCTATCTTTTTTTTTTTTTTTTTTTTTTTCTAATCTTTAATCGATGGAATAGTTTCTGTTAATACAAACGAACAATTATGATCAATGCTCTTATATATATATATATATATACAATCCAAATATTCATATACCCAGATCTTGATATACCAAGATTCTGTTTTATAAAAAGTGTTCCCTTTAATATAACACAAGAAAAAAAGAAAAAGAAAATAAAGAGGCAAAGAATTAAGAAATTTATATATGTTGGTCGGTCGGTAGGAAGAGGATAAGATGGGTTACACGATCTCCATCTCTCAACAAATCTAGAACAACAGTATCACCGAAGAAATTGATATGTAAGTGTGTGTATATATATATATATATATGTATATGTGCGTGTGTGTGTGTGTGTGTGTGTGTGTACATATATATATATATATATATATAATTATTTAACTGACGAACAATGACCCATGCTAGAGACACCTTATCTTGAGAGCTAACCCCACAATTAATTTCCATATTTCACGCTTCAATAACCAGTGAAGCTTTTCGTAATTTATTTTGTTTCCCATAATTTATTTGGCCCCCCCCACCACCAACACGTACGCGTTTTTGCTGACCTTCTATTTTTGAAAACGACAATGCATTTCCATTCTTGTCCTACAAAGTATAACCTCTCATTTGTAACCACAAATTTTTAAGTCTCCAATCTTTAATTTCTTGCACATACACTCAAATTGTACATTTGAAATCATTAGTTGTGATTGTTTAAGAAAAAAAAAATGTTATATCCAATAAAAGTTTGATTATGATAAATATATTAATTCATATAGGTTCGTGTGAGTAAAAGATTATCATTTTTAATAACGTTTAATTTCAATTAAAGTATGTAAGATTAAGATCGAGTTTTCTATTATTCTTTATGCAATGAAGACATCAAGATTTCTACATATCCTACTAATTACTATTTATGAAAGACTTGAAAATTTTGGAAACTTGGCTAATAATTTATGTATGTATGTGTGTGTGTGTGATCAAAATAATAAAACAAACTATTAAATTGAGTATTTTATAAATGTATATATAGATATATGGATAGGTTTGTTTTCTTTGTTCCTTTTTTTTTTTTTTTTTTTTCTCATTTACAGATTATGTGGACTCTGTTATTAAATTCTTCATCCTCATTATCTTAACAAAGTGGTTGTGTTCTTTTTGCACAACCATATTTTTATGACCTTTTCTCTTTGGGATTTTCTTACATTACTAACACCAAATGTGAGCTCTTTCGTGTCAATATATTTACTAGGTGATTGATAAGCTCCTAACTAAATTGACTACGCTAATAGTTATCGTGTTAAGTAACAATGTAACATGCATGGTTAGAATGTCACTTTTTTGTAATTTAAGATCTTAGGTGTAACACTCAATTATTTGTATTATTTTTATTTTACTTTATTTTTATTAATTCTATATAAATATGTATTAATTGAATTGAATTTAATTTAGTTTATTTTAATGAAAAATAATAATAATAATAATAATAAAGGGTAAAAATTGGTTAGAGATATAATTGAAAACAATTTTGGACACAAATGGTGAAAATTTAGGTTCTGTGGGTATTTTTGAAAGAAAAATCAGAAACCGATGGTCAAAACGTAATTTGAAAAAGTTACACCATGTCAGCTGCCCGGTCAGCAGCCCCGACAAACCAGGACGCGCCAGGTGGTAGAGACGTTGATGCGGGAGGCCACGCAGGAGGGAGCCATGTGGGCGATCCGCGTGCGCGCGATCAAACGGCTGAGATCCGTTCCCGCGCGCACGAATGACCCAGATCAAAAACGCGCATGGACGACCCAGATTACATCGCGCACAGACGGTCCAGATTGAATCGCGCACGAACGGTCCAGATTGAATCGCGATGAACGGTCTAGATTCACTCCCTATTTAATCGCGATCGGACAGTTCAGATTAAAAGCGATGGACGGCCCAGATCAAAAGCAGATGTGTATAAATAACCCCATATGCACCAAAACCCTAACCCTACCTGCCAGAGCCCCTCCCTAGAGAAGACAGCCCAGCTGCCGGGGAGTCGACCGCCGCCACCCGCCGTCGCAACAACGGAGCAATTTTTGGCCGCCAAACGAGATAAAAATTCTACCATTTGCTCAAAATTTGATTCCAAACCCACC